CTGATACAAAATATCTTCTGCATAGCAACAGATACTTGATTAAAAATAGAGCATTCATAGGAACTACAGTTTTACTTTAACACTGTATAAATACACACATGTACATTTTCAATTTGCCTTACAAAAAAAAATAAGACAGAGTTTGAAATACTTTAGGATTACAATGACAAATATTTTCAGAAAAGGTTCCTAGGAGTGCCTTTATTGTTGTTGCACACCAAAAAGAGCTCCAATGGTGCCTTCCTATAACTTATATTTTGCCCTCTAACTTTTTCATGCCAGCAATATACTGAAATTAAATTGATAATGGCAACAATCAAGATATAGGCCTTTATTCCTGTAGTATAGGTTCGGTACACTCACTATATTAAAAGAATTTTGGAGCCTCACCACTTCGTTACAGTCCATAACACTGTGTCTGTACCTTGACAATAGCCTTACAGTTTAGTTTTCATTTTAAAAGGATCCACTATAAGGCTTTCATGTCTAAGTGTATCATTCTACCTGCAGCTTTCCATAGTTCATCTAGTGTAGGAGGATAGCAGTTTCCCAGCATCAGTTTCAAAAGTCCAATCACACAGAAATCTATAGGCACTGCATCTAGTTATTTAACCAGAATGTCTTTGTATGGAACAGCATGAATACCCATTTCATTCTCCAGCTGCTTAAAGTATGCTATGGTTGAAGATGGGGAATGTTTGAATGGAAACCTTATATTGGGAAACCGATACCCTGTTGTTCTCATTTCCAGACAGAGATCCTTCTTAATTATTTTATGCACTGTTGCCTGAAGACACATTGATGGCTTTTTCCACTGAACTTTGTGCTCTTGGAGTCTCACCTGTTACAAGATGCTTCACTTTGCTTATCACATTTGAGGTACTCTTTCTAGGTGGTCCTGATACTCCACATTGACTTTTTTTTCCTTTGCCATTTACAGGGGGTATTCTCATCTTGGAACTTCTAAATCCCCAATTTTTGTATAAAAAACAAACAGGAGTGAGCAACCACAACATCTACATGTGTGTAGTGGCTAAACCCTATGTAATAGTCATTGTAGTGGCTAAACCCTCTGTAATAGTCATTAATGGGAAAGTAAATTCTGTTGTTGAAAAAAATACAATGTTAATTCAAATGCTTTAAAAATAATGATATTCGTTTTTACCTTTTTATGAATCCAAATAAGAACTGATTTTTATAATGTAAATTTTCTTTTTTTTTCTTAACAAGAAGACCTATAACTGTTATCATTTTTTTCTGTCTTGTTTCATTGCAGGTTTGGACAGCATGTTTGCTTTAAGATATATATATATGCATTTCACTTTGTATGTATGTATGTATAGTTATACAAAGAGTACATCAATGCAACTGACAGTTGTTCAGCATCATGTTCTGTGAATAAGGATGTATTGTGCTCTTCGAACAAACAGGTATTGTCTTTTATTTTAGCAGAAAATGATAGCCAATTTGAAACACTTATGGACCATCTTAGTGGCATCATGAAAATATGCATCATATTGGGAACAGCTGTATTTAGCAGTGTTCAACAGCCTTTCCTATGTGTTAATTTAGCCATATTTTAGTTATCACATTATTTAGAACAAAGATCTGAGTTTCCGCCTTGTCTTCTAATTTCTCAATTATTATAACAAGGATTTGCCAGAGGTGAGAAAATTTGTTATTTAAGACTCATAACATCAATATTTATACCTGATTAAATGAATTACACGATAATTCACTCTTAACTTTTGTTTTTTTTTATTGTAGATTTCAACTCTCTTATTGGAGCATTCTTCAGGCAAATGAACAATACATTCAGGTGAAAATTAACAAATCATTGTTCAGTAGTTTGATGAAGGTTCTGGTGAGAGGGATGAAAGCTTGCAACAGAAAAAAATAATATAGTGAGGTTTTTTTGTAATACTGAAAATTAAAACCAGTGTTCATATTAGCTTTTTTATTTCTAAACTGTTATTGAAAATAATCCATCCAGTAGTACATGGCATTTATGAGGTAGTTTTATAGATGCTATCTGAAGTAGCATTTCACATTATATGGTTATTATCACTAATTAATTTTTTTTTCGAAAAACAATTATAAGTTTATGAGAGTGTAAAAATGAATAAAATTTCACATTTGGTTTATACAATTAGAAGTTACTTGAAGTACTTTCAATACAAAAGTAACTGGTTTTCTTTGCTTTTGTCATCTGATTTTAGTTATTGTTCACATACTATCTCATGTTGTATAGCTGCTAAGTTGTCCATCTGTCTCTCAAAACAGTTGTACAGATATATTTTATGTACACTAGTGATTATCAGAGTAAATGCAAACCTAATATTGATTTTAATTGACATGCATGATCCCCTAGAGAACTTAGTTTCTTTGCAGCTTGTTTATGTAAGCGTATTAGCAAAGAAATGTTTTAATGGCTTTGAGCAAAAATCAGATCTCCATTAAGTGCAATCACCTAATGCACAAAAATAAGTAAAAACTGAGGTAGCCATGAAGAAAAGTTAATCTGTTCCAGTGTTCATTGTATTATTTAGCTATATCATATGCACTTATCTGCTTTGCAGAGCAAGTGTAGCTCTAGGGAACAAACAGTGTTATTACGTTTTTTTGGATTATTTTTATGGTTTGTAAACATTGAATAATGACCAAAACAAAAAAGGCAAAAACATGTAGTAAGATATTATTAGTTGCTTCAAAAGCAAATTTTAATTTATTTGAAATATAATAACATTATTAATTTACTTTCAAAACTTTTTGATACTTCAAAAACAAAAAATAAATTTGTGAAGGGTTGCTAAAACACATTCTAAAACAAGTCAGTCAGATCTATTCTGCATTTCAATGGTAAATCTTTGATGACATATTTTTGAACTAATATACTTATTCAAATAGAGTTTTGAACATGATGTGATTTAATAATGCCAGTATTGTATTTATACACATTTTCTGGATTTGATGTAACTTTACAAGCAATGTACATTTCTTTAGGTACATGTATGTGAATTTATTCTCAGTGGTTCTTTTGTGATTGATCACTTTATGTGTATATGTAACATTATAAAGCTAACTGTTCACTTATGTTGTGAGATTAACAGTTTAAAAGAAGTTTTAACTCAATTCTCTCTCTCAGTAGTTCAATGAATCAAAATGTTTCTCATTTATTAAGTTTGTGAATATTTTCTGGATTTGTGCTGTTCTTTCAAGTTTGATTGCAAGACACAAATTAAAAGTTGATCAAATGTGCAATGCTGTTTAATATAGGAATAAATTTGTTTGTAAATTAATTCATTACAGGTCTCCCATTAATGTAATAAAGTTGGTTGTTTACAGTTTATCTTAATACATTATGTCTAGACAAAATAAAATAAGCTTTGTGAGCTGAGAACAAGAATATCATTATGAAACAACAAAGTAACATTTAGGTATTTCCTTTATGAAAAGCTGTATTTTTGCTAATTTTTCTCTTATTTATCTTTGTAAATAATCAGTGTTTTGATACTGTAAAAAAAAATACTAAATATAAATATTTTACTTGTGCAAAACAAAAATGTTGATTTGCGACAATTTTCAAAATTGAGTTAGCAGACCAGATTGTTTTCAAACAAACGATACGTGATTAAGTTGTTAATTTCATTGAAAGTTAACCATGTCAGATATTGAATATTAACTACATATTCACTTTCAAACTGTGGGAAACTGTTAGACATTGCTTTATATGTTTGCTTTCATTCACAAGTCTTCTTTTTTTTTTTCATTTTCATAATTTTCAACTACAATTTCTTTTAGTATTAAATGATTCTTCAAAAAGATCTTGTATTATTTTTTGTCTAAAGATTTTGAACAGTTGATAGATATATTTGAATGAATGATATATATAATTGAAAAGTGGTATTAGCAGTCAACTATCACATTGTCATTTATATGAAACTACATAATCTTTTACTTTTAATTTGTAAAATAAAATTCTGTACAACCCAGAATAATGATAAAATATTTATTACTTTGGCTTTATACCCTAGATGTGTCAAATATTATAGTTTTATATTGAAGCTTTTCTTTTGAATATATATATATATATTTAAGTATGTTGATTTTCAGTGTTTCCCGAAAGAACTGTAGTGCATACCATACAGACATATGTCACTTATATTTTGTTTTTTTATCACTATTTTATTCTGGCAGTTTATTATTAATGAAATATATGCTGTCTAACACATTAGGTTATCTAAGAAATAATGGCTTCAGTCATGCATAAATTGTAAAATTATTAACATTGTTAATAGTTTGTCTTATAAATTGTTTCTCGTTACATTTACACCCAAAATTGTATGTATAATCAGTAGACAGAATTGATTGGTTGATGATTTTGTTTTGTTTGTACATAAAAAAACCACTAGGTTTATATCATGGTATCTCACCCTGAATTTTGGGCAAGGAATATCTCAAGTAACCATGGGAAATGGCAACAGTTTACTTATAACCAAAATACCCATTTGCTGTTTTTAACATTTAAAAATTTGTTTACTATTAATTTCTTCACTATAATGAAATAAATCGCTGTTGTAAATTGGGATCTTCGAGACTAAAGACTTTAAAACATCTTTGTTATATTTGACAAATTTTTCTTTTTTCATTGGTAATCACCTTAGAAATGCTTTGTGTTTAAACTTTTGTAATAACTATGCAAAACCAAAGAAAAGTTGGCTTGAGGTGTTGTAATTTACAACCTTTTTAAACTACATTTTGATATATAAAGCCCTACATTCATTATTTGAATCTAACTAAATGTGTATCATACCTGATTATTATTAGTTTGAAACACTTGAAGCATTAGTCAGAATGGAGCTCCTTAGTTTTTGTTTTTATGTAACCAACATTTGTAATAGTGGTTTGTAAAAGTAGATGAAACTAAGAAAGAAAAATATCTTGAAATGGCAAGCTGTTTGTTTTTGGTGTTTTTCTAAATTTTCTAGTTGAATATTAATATACGTTAAGCATTTAAGATCATGTTGAAAATCACACCATTTTTTTCTTGCAGTATTTATGTGTATTAATACTTAAATAACTTTTTAAACATTTTCTGACAAGGAAAGCATTGAATTCACTAGAATATTTAATTGTAATTAGTCAGCCACAACATTTTTGGTGCCTTATGTGGAACAAAAAATGTTCAGTTGTCTTTCTTTTTGTTGTGTAATAAGATTTTGTAATCAAAGAAACTGATACTATTTCAAGAAAACTTTGGGGTAAAAGGGGACAAAGCAACTTTAAGTATACTATAAATATTATATTTTGAAAAAATTAGTTATTGAGTGTGATTTCTGTAATTAGCCATACTGCTGCACACTAGGTGCTCAGCAGCACAATGACAGTATTTGTAGAGAGCACATAAGTGTGGTGAAAATATTTCTCACCCCCACCCCAATCATTTTTATGGCTTTTCTACACAGAAACATCTTGGAAGCTTTTTCTTTCTTTTTTTTTCTTGATCATAACAATTATTCTTTCTTCCAACCAGCTATAGTTGATTAACTTAAAATCTCATCTGAGTTTTTATTCAAGAACATACACATATATTGGTAGAAGTACTGTTGCACTTGAAAACCAGTAACTGGTCATTTGTGCACATTACTTAGTATTACTTCCCAGACTCACTTATTTTGTCATGTCATAAACAGTTTGTTAATGTTTACCAGGATTGTTGTTTTCTGGTGCCTATCGAAATAAATAGTGGTAAAACTGCTAGTTTTTAAAGAAGCAAAAAACACTGAAATAGCGAATACAAAGTAACTACATCTCCAGAGTTATTCTTTTATCTTTAAATTACGTTTTTAGTGACAAACAATTCCAAATTCTGAAGGTATTTGGTGTAAGTGATTGAGTTTACTAATGGTAAAGCAGGTGGTCAGCCTGCGACATTATTTAAAGTGTGTGGTAAGGAGAAATACTTATCTTTTATGCTTATAAGGTATCATCACACACATTCTTTGAAGATTTTGGTGTGATTTTTAAATATGTCCTACTTTAAAGTGATAGTGAACAAAATACACTGATGAAATGGTGCAACTGCTCAAAGATTCTGTTAGCAGTATCATGTATGCAGTTAAACATCATGTTCTTTGTATTTGGTTAGTGTCCGAAACATTTGCATTTGCTGTATAAAGCTTTTCCTAAGTAATTTGTTATTTTATGTAAAAATATATTTGTGAACGAATACTCGTACGAATGTTAAGATGGGATCTGCTTGTGTTTTCTATGTGACCATTTGGGACTTTTCTACTTTGAAATAAGACTCATGCTTATTATCAGGTGGATATAAAGCTTAAACAAGTGTTTGGTTGCTATGCTCAAGTTGATAGTGAAGTGCTTTTGGCGATGGTCAAAAGCATCAGTGTGTGACAAGATTTCCTTTAATGTTAGTAGTTGTAGGAGTAATTTATTCATGTTGATGTAGTTTCACCTGTTGTGGAAATAAATCTCTGAACTAAACCTTCTGTGTTGACTTTTTATTTCCTTTTAAAAAATATATATAAACTTAAATTATGGATGCAAAGGATGCTTAAAGATTTTACACAATACATAAAAATGTATATATCATTATTATGTTTGGCTTCATAATAACACACGAAACATTATCAATGTATTTCTTTTGACCAAATTTAATATTATCAGGCCTAACATCCTCAGTTCTTAGAGAGCCCATAGTTGAAGGAGTAATAATATAGATTTTAAAATACATAAAATGATTATCAGATTTGTTTTTTATAGGGCTGCGGATTCTTTACAGTAGATGTCTGTGACTTGGTGATAAATCTCAACAATAAATAAACAACACACAATTCACTTGTTTTAAAATAATGTATTCAAAACAAGTCAAACTTATTTTGCACTATAGGTTATCACAGTTGTATCTAGAGCTTTAAATAATTCTTTTTTTTCATCAAACATCCACACAAGGTGGTTAATTACTTTAAACTTAATTATCAATATGAATTATTTCTTCTCTACTCTTTTATCACAATACAATCAGTGATAAATCCACTTACGTTACCCCTGGGTTATCACAGTTGTATCCAGAGCTTTAAATATATATATATTTGTCAAAAGTTCACATTGGCTGGTTCAATTACTTTAGAACCCAGTTGACAAGATGAATTATTTCTTCTCTACTGTTTTTATCACAATATAATTGGTAATAAATCCACTTACGTTACCCCATGGGTTACCAGATTTGTATCCAGAGCTTTGAAATATATATATATATCTTTTTTTTTTTTTGTCAAAAGTCCACACAGGTGTGTTCAATTATTTTAGATCCGGATTGACAAGATGAAGCCCCCCAGTGGCACAGCGGCATGTCTGCAGAGTTATGACGCTATAAACTGGGTTTATATACCCATGGAATATAAAAAGCAGATATCCCTTTGTGTTTAACTACAATCAGGCAAGATGAATTATTCTTGTCTGTCTCTGTTATTACAATACGAACGTGAAACTTTCACTTTATAAATCGACAGTTACCGCTAAACTGAGATTCACGCAGTCTAACTTCACTTTCACTAATTTCTTACTTTATCTGCACTTATTTATAACGCGCGACAGCAAAATCTATAATTATCTAGCTTCGAGTAAGATGACGTCAACAATATTACAAAAGCCTATACAACAATTAAATTACGTACACAACGAAAGACTCGTACTGTTTTGCATAACGAAACTTGTCATGACTATCACTTTTACAATAATTAACTTTTAACACTTTTATACAATTAAATAATCGATAAATATAAAATCACTAAATAATAACTCTTAAGCTAAACAGTCTTGTATATTCAACAATAGTGGAACAACACACCTGCTGAAACCAAATTTTCTGGTATTTTGCAAATTGCGTATTCCTGCAAAAAATCAAGGAATCCATTTCCAACCAGTTTCTTATGGATGAAAAACTTAACAATAACATGACATCCTATCATATCACACTCTGCCTGGTTCTTGGAACGAATTTAGGGTTTCATTGCAAACAGTATCCGAATTTGTGGTTCATTTTACAGTTGTCTTAAAACGTTGCTATATCTACACTAAAAACTTCCTGGGCATAATTTATCCAATTACTCCTGTGGCATTAATCATTTACAAAACTTTACACACATGTCTGGGTCAACTTCTGGGATTTGCAGCATGTAAAGGTGGTATTTATGTTGTTTCAGAATCCAGAGTATGCTTCTGTGGCTTATTACTATTATTCGTGCAATTTGTCGAGTTGACCGCATAGGGATTGCTAAGAAACAGCCTGCCACAAGATTCATTGAAGATAGGTCACAAAACCAGTTTCAAAACTAGGATCCCTAATTCTGTTGTGCCCTACTGCTGACTTAATCCAGAATCTCTACACAAGAGTCACCTCCGCGTATCTTGTAAATTTAATTACATCTCAGCCAATTCTTATAATAAAAGACAGTTCGTGAAACATAAACTTGACTTGCAAAAATCGTAATAAGACTAGTACTTGAGTATGTCATAGTAGTTTGCAAGTTTTGTACCACCCTGTGCTTCCTTTTCATTGATCATGCTCGACCTGATGGTCATGATTGATTATGTACTACTCCCAGTATTGGAGTATGTATTGTAACAAACTTGTGGCAAGATCAGTCTTAACAAACTTTCCTCATACTTTTCGTTTGTACAGGGTGTCCCAGAAGTCTAGACCCATAGGGAAAATAGGTATTATAAAGTTAAACAAACACATTTCTAATATCGGTTGTACATATATATCAGGTAAAAAAGAAATATACCTTGATGACACAGAATACCGAGAATTGACATGTGTATGGCGTGCAATTTGAATAATAAGTAAATTGAAAATACATTGTGTATGTTCCCTATGGGTCTACACTTCTGGGGCACCCTGTATGTGGACATTGGCTTTCTAGCACGTTTCAGCAAACTAAATACCAATAAATTCGTGAGTGTGGATCAGGTTTAGTGACATAAAACATGCTATTGACCTTTCGCAAATTCGGAACACAAACTTCTACAAAAGCACTATGAGGTAAGTATGTTGGGGTTGCTAGCAACAGCTAGTCAGAATGTACAACATTTACAATGTATTCAAAGGTGAAAGTCATCACTTACTAACTGGAACTTTGGATTTACTTTTTATCATAGATAAAGTATCTATGAAATCACACAACATCCAGCTTTTACAAACCCCCTCAACTATTCTAAATCTTGCCCATATGATGTAGGCTGCCAGTAGTAAGTAACTTGATAGCAGCAGAAGGGAAATATCTAAAGTGTTATTCTGGGTTAATGAAACATGTATGAGATATGACTTTAAGGAAGACTGGAAAATTTAATGTAGTTTCCTTAGTAATGTTGCAGGCGATAGAAGATATCCCCTGACATCAATTTGAAACAATTATTTTGAACCGTTGTCAAAGTTTGATACAGATCAAAGAGCACAAAGTTCAAAGAAAAACACCAGAAAAATCTGGGAAACATTTTGATTTTATTTCTCCAACAAGCAGAAAGGAATCGCTTCTTATCCTTCAGAAAATAATTACAAGTCAAAAAGTATTAGACTTGTATTCTGAGCTGGTTGTTCAGAACTGTCATGAGAATTCATACTGATATAAAGGATTTCAACGGACACGACATTATTGGTGGTATTAAGACAAATTGTGTGCTATTAACAGGAGTAATAGTTTAGCAGCTTTCCACTTTCTGTAGCTTGGACTGTGGCAATCCAAACTAATACATATTTTTCAGTGGATGTGCTATACTGGGTCCTTACTTTAGATAGCTAATTTCAAGGCAATCCATTAAGAAATACACGAGATATAAAATATCAAATTTTCATTGAATTTCTTCCTATTTTTAGTCGCGACATAGCTTTTAGTTCATAGCTCCGTCAGTTCATGACTGATTTGAGATCTAATTACACTTTTGGACTCAGGAGGTCAAACCCTTTCGATGGATGTATTTGAACACGCTCTAATCCTGCCTAAAATAATTTCAATTTGAGGCTAGGATGGTAGAGATCCTGATGAGTAATATAATTGAATCGGGTATACACGCGCCCCACGCTTGATGTTGCTGGCGCACAAAAAAAGATAGCTTTTAGTTCATAGTTCCGTCAGTTCATGACTGATTTGAGATCTAATTACATTTTTGGACTCAGAAGGTCAAACCCTTTCGATGGATGTATTTGATCACGCCCAAGGTCTCATAGATTAATTTGCTCTAATCCTGCCTAAACGAATTTCAATTTGTGACTAGGGTGGTAGAGATCCTGATGAGTAATATAATTGAAACGGGTATACACGCACCCCACGCTTGATGTTGCTGGAGCACAAAAAGATAGCTAATAAAAAAGGGAGGGAAGGTATCATAGATTAATTTACTCTAATCCTGCCTAAAAGAATTTCAAGTGCCGCGGCTATTGAGGATTACCTCTTGTTTATTCTTCGCACCGAAAGTAGGAAACTTTATTTCATAGAAAAACATACTTAACTTTTATGGATTTTTCTTTTTAAGTTTGGTGCACTGATAGATCTTTTCAACCTACAATTAGGTGTCAAATGTGGTCTAAGTATAAGCCACAGGTGTAAAGTTATTCAACAAAAACCGCTCAATTTTGACCAGACTTTTTTGTACACGCCTAAGCAAAAAGCCACGTGAGCTATCGGTCTGAACTTTTTACTACAGCTTCACCTAAGAGTAACGGTGGACCGCTTTTAGTTTTTGTCATTCAGATTAAAAACGGCTGATTTAGAGCAGCAAAACTATAGGGTGAAAGCTCGTGCAGATATATAAGTGTTGATAAGTCCAACCAAACTAGATTAGCAGTTTCTAGCTCAAGTTTTCAAAAGAATCATACGGGTTGACGTTTATTATTCATTGCCAACTTTTCAGCACAGATTTGCCAAATGTTATGAAATTCTCCTAATTAAAGAGCGTTTAGAGTCACATGATAGTAGCTTAAGCAATTAGCGTAAATAATGATACTTGATATGGCTGTACCGAGTACATACGGATGATGACAAGAAACTGTTAATCTAGTTTCCATGACGTTACTATAAAGAAAGTTATTAACTACCACCACATATTTAAAAAATCTCGATGGTTCTGTAAAGTAAAGGTCTGTTCCAAATAATAGGGTTGCGATATCCTAAAGCTAATGTTGGTTACTATCGAGTGCCACTTTCTTACTTGCTGTTGTTTATTGGTGTGTATTGACAAAAAATTCATATCTAATCAAAAACACCTTACGTGTGAAAAAAAAAAAGGATTGAAAGTGTCACTTAAAGGAATGAAATCAAAATTGGCGGCTAAACTGGTAGCTACACTTATAGCATTGATAAGAATTCTGCAGCAAATATTCATTCGTTAGAAAGGCCGTGTTTTGTTTTTTTTTTTTGTTTTTTTTTCATGTGTGTGTGTGTGTTCAATTTGGTGGCACAACGATATGTCTGCGGACTTACAAT